CTCCATTTTCTTATCTGGAAAACGGGAGGAATGACACTATCTGTAAGTGTTTTATAGGACTGGCCTACCAGTCAAATGATTCTACAAAACCACCGTGAAATCTGAAAACTGCAGTGAAGAGATAAACGCCTGGGAAGCTGTGCTTCCATCACTCTGGATACTGGTTCATCACCACATTAACAACTCCATCTCTTTGAGATGCAGGCCGCCTTCTGAAAGCCCATCTGTGAGTTTCTGCTGGATGCTCTGCAAGGGCCCCATGACACGTTCACAGTCAGAACCCAAGAACAGGTGATCAGTCCTGCAGCTCACACTGGATAGTCAAGCCTGTAGGAGGCACAGAGGAGAAGGGAAGGCACCTGCCTCGGAGGAGGGTCTAGAAACAGCGTGCTTATTCCCTCCACCCTAGAGACTCCACGGCAACACACTCGCTCTCCCATCCTGATGCAGCCTCCGGCTCTAGGTCTTCTTTCCTTCTCTCCTGCCACCCCTAGTCCTGTAAGCTGATTCAAACTATCCTTCATTTCAAGCCATTTCAAAGAAATGAGTTCACCCCACTCAACTCAGGAAAACTCTCATCCTGAATATGCACACAGGAGGGAATGCTAGCAGAGTACTGGAACCTTCCCCCAAGGTTCATTTTCCACCTTTGAAGTTCATCTTGACTAAAACAAGAAACATCATTACTGGCTCCAGAAGTTCTTTGTGTTTTTACTTAGCCACTCTCACCTCTCTTGAAAACGAGCTTTGCACACCTTTTTCATGGTCTTGCTAAAGGTCTTTGCATACCTGAAATTGATTTTGCCCTTCTTCCCTCACCAGCTAAGAGAATGCCCAGCAAGTCTCCGTTGTCTGCAGAAAAAAAAGTGTCCCCCACCCACACACATTCCCAGCCCAGCATCTCAGCCTGCAGGAGCTAACTCCATTCTACTTCTCCAACCTTGTTTCACAGCCAAAGGAATCACTTAGGACCCTTCTTGCTCTCTCTAACCTCTGGATATTGTCATGCTGTTCCCTCCGTCTGGGTCACCCTTCCCTTCCACTGCCACATGTCCAAACCTAAAATGCTGCCTCCTCCAGGAAGCCTTCCCCGATTTCTCTGGTGTGCAGAACCTCCCTTCTCTGCACACCACAGCACTCTCCTTGTCCCTTTCAGAGGGCATGTATCACATTTATACCTTATGTAATGTGCCAGAACAAGTCCTGTTCCACAAACCTGCCTCCTCACACTGGGGACGTGAAATAGGGGAATGGTTAGGAACAAGAACTTAAAAAGAGGCAGAACTGACCTTGCCCCTGAACACCACCCTGTCCCTGCTGTGACCTTCAGCACTGTCAGCACATTGCTAAGGCATCACATAAAGGCCCAAAGTGAAGACAGATCAGGAAGAAACTCATGCTGCCTGACACCCACGAGGACAGCTACTAACAAAACAACAGAACAACAGGTGCTGGCCAGGATGTGGAGGAAGAGGAACCCTGGTGCACTGTTGGTGGGAATGTAACATGGTACAGACAATAGGGAAAGTAGTAGGGTGGTTCCTCCAAAAATTAAAAACACAACTACCAGATGCTCCAGCAATTCCACTTTGGGGTATATATATCCAAAAAAATTAAAAGCAAGAGGCAGAACCAAGGTTTGAACCTAGGCAGCCTGGCACCCAAGGTCTTACCATCCCTGCCACACTGACACTATCCTACTTAGTCCCCCATGACAAATCAATTCTAATTTATGAGAGCTATAGAGGCTGCGGGTTAGAACAAAATGGGAAGCCATACAGTGAGCGCTCTGCACCCTGCCCCGTTCACTTCTGAGGATTTGACAGTGACTTAAGAGCGGCCACGCCTGACTCCCTGAGCACTACATCTGTTCTTCCCTCTGCACTTTGTCTTCAGCCTCACAGGACAGGTCTCATACCACAACACAGAGAAGGACACTCCTGAAAAGGGCTATAAAACTATAACCAGCTCCAGGGGACGGCATAAGGATTTTCAGGGGTAACTTGGCTACATGTGTGATTTTTATGTCACTATTGCCCCAAGAACCCACTTTCTGAGAGGTGTATGGTTATGAGTCCAAGACTCCGGTCGCGGCTTTTTGGACTATCAGAAGATGGGACCAGGCTGCTGGAGAGAAGAGAATCAGACTCCACCAGGTACCTTCCCCAGGATCCAGCAGCCAGGAATCCAGAAACATCAGCCCACGCCCCTTCCCAATAAGGAAATGGGGTTTCCACGCTGCGTCAGGAAGAGGAGGAACATGGAGGAGGGTAGATGCACCAGTCTGGGGCTGTGGAATCTGGGACGGCCTTTCTCTGGGATGGTTCAGGGTGTCTCCTGCCTCCTTCGGTATCTGGGTCCTCCCTGGAGTATGATTCATGCAGCCTCCACCTCTGCATTATTTTATTCTTGAGACAGGAGCTCACTCTATCGCTCAGGCTAGAGTACAATGGGGCAATTACAGCTCAGTGGACCTCCTGCACTCAGATGATCCTCCTATCGCAGCCTCCCAAGTAGCTGGGACCAAAGACACATGCCATCACACCCTGTTAGTTTTTTTTTTTTTTTTTTAATTACTTGTGGAGACAGGGTCTCACTACGTTGCCCAGGCTGATCTTGAACTCCTGGGCTCAAGCAATCCTCCTGCCTCCGCCTCCCAAAGAGCTGGGATTACAGGTGTGAGCCACTGTGCCCAGCCCCACATTCTTATATCAGTTACTGTAAGACTCCCAGAGGCACCTTACCTATCCCCACACTCCCATCTGCCCAATCCTTGCAGACGCTGGCCTCAGTCTTACTTCAGGGCCTTTGCACGTGCTGTCCTTGCTGCTTGGGATTTTCAGTCCCCGAATGGCACGCTGCAGCTCCTTCTCTCTCTCTAGGTCTCAGCTCAGAAGCCATCTCCTCAGAGAAGTCCTTCGTGACCGCCTCATCCAAAACAGCCCCTCCCTCCCTCGCACTCTCCTGCCCGGCTCCTGGTTTCACTTCCTCCCATCAGTTTGCACTGTCTCACTTATCTTATCTTGCTCACTGGTGCTCATTTCGGGATTATTGTCTCACTCTTCCCACCACCTCCAAACGCTAGATGCTTCCCAAGAGCAGGGCCCCAGCACCCTTGGCCACTGCTTTATTCTCGCCTCCCATAACATCGTCAGGCACCCAGGTGCTCAGCAAACACTGGGAGACTTGCTGGCTGGGTCATGGTTGCCACAGTGCTGAGCCTCAGGTTCCTCATCTGTAAAACGGGGATGGCGACACCTGCCCCCAGTGTGGCTGCGAGGAGGACTCAGGAAGACACCGTGAGCACAGGGCTGGGCACGCAAGGGCTCTCCATCAATGATAAGCTCCACTCGCCCCATGCCCTGCACAGGAAAGGGACTGAGAAAAAGAAAAAGCGAGTTCTGTGCCCAACACTAGACAGCTGCCCTTGACCATGACTCAATACCACTGGCAGCATTCTCTCAAGATTGTCAGAGAACAAGTTCCCTGGTGGGGAGGGGGTACAAGCCCACCCAGCCCCGGCAATCTCGATGCGGCCCGGGCTGCTGCGGCGCATACCAACAAGCTACCTGCTGCCGCTCACCTCCAATAGAAGCTGCTGTGATCTCTGCTGCGTCCTGCATATTGACGTTTGAGCAAAGAACACAAAACACATTAAATAAATGTTACAGTCTTATCGACAGGAAAAGGAGAGCTGAGAAAGAGTCTCCAGAGGGAAGGCGCTTGGCCCAGAGCCCCAAGCCACGTAGCCTCCTGGCAGTCAGTGTCAAGCTCCTACACACCAGGGAGCTGCCTGCAGGAGCTTCGTTCTTGGTTCCAGGAGTAACCAAGGGGTGCAATGCAAACAACAGCCAAAGAGAAGGGTAGGACATCAGGGACCATTTCAGCCTTCCTGTGTTTCAAGAAACAGTCCAGGTCTGGGGGAAGGAGGGCTCCACACGGGATGTCTATTGGTATCCCTGCCCCCTTCTGCAAGTTAGAACACCCCGCAGTGCTCTGGGCAACCACCCCTCTCCCACTGGCTACAGTCTCGGTGGTCTTGTCAATCAAAGTCCCCAGACATCCCTGCCAGCCCGTGAGGTACTCCCTCATTAAGAATCTTCAGGGGAAGGACACTGAGAACGGAATGTTGGACATCCCCCTCCTGCAGGCTGCACCCTGAGATTCTCGGCTTCAACTCTGGGACTGCCCCTATCCTTCCAGTACACCCCTGCTCTGTAAAATGGCCAGAGCTGGTTTCTGTGACTTACGCCCAAGATCCACACTGCACAAGATTCCCTGTGGAGCAGCACTCCTGGCCACAGTCCTGGCAGCTATGTGTGGCCATGCACCTGGGTCTAGGCCAGTGGGAAGTTTGGTCATCTTGAAATTAAAGAGACGCCTCTCTTCCCCTTTCCTGGGAACTAGAAAGGGGACTTAATGTGGCCCAGCTTCAACCACGGGAAGGGGCAACACCCTGGGGGATGGAAGATGGAGGGAGTCTGGGTCCCAGGATAAGTCCTGGAGCAGAACTGTCCCCCAGATGAGACTGTTCCTCTATTCTGTTACATGACAGAGAAAAAAACTCTCATTTAAATAACAGTATTCAGCCGGGCATGGTGGTGCACACCTGTAATCCCAGCTACTCGGGAGGATGAGGCATAAGAATTGCTTGAACCCTGGAGGCAGAGGTTGCATCGAGCCAAGATTGTGCGACTGCATTCCAGCCTGGGCGACAGAGTGAGACTCTGTCTCCAAGTAAATAAATAAACCAATCAATCAATAAATCCCAGTATTTGAGCGCTTTTATTGTGGCAGCTTAGCCTGTATCATAACATACACTACACAGGCCAAAAAGAAAACCGAAGAAAAACCACCACCCTTCGGTATGGACTCTGAGGGAAGACAGAGCCTGGACAGAACCAGCCTCTTCTTGCAGCCTCCAAGCAGCTTTGCTCTTCTGGGTTTGGAGGGAGAATACGGCGTCTGAGAGGCTGGCCTCCTTTCCCCACCCCACTCACCTTTTTCTCATCCCCTCCTTGCAGGAGGTGCAGGGTGCTCCTCCGGTCACCCTCCTGCTGCCTCAGGGCACCGCCGTGGGGCTGGGGCAGGCCCGAGGGCGGGGAGATGCTGCGGCCCTGCGGGTCCACCCAGGTGTAGATGTGGTTGGTGACGTAGCCCCCAGGGATGCGCCCTGCTGAGTACACAGACAGCACCAGTTTCTTGGAGCCCTTCAGAGCCTAGGGAGAGAGGGACACACAGGTTAGAGGAAGGGAGTTGCCGGGGGTGTGGAGGAACACCCTCCCCTGGTCCAGACCTTGGTTTTTCTCAGGAGCCCCACGTGGAAGGAGAGGCCAGCCCCGAAGTCCCTTTCCTTCTCTAGCCCTCGATTTTGTCCTATGAAAACAAGAACATCTGTCCCACCTCTATCCTGAAGTGGTCCAAATACAAGAAATATGATATATTAGGAGACCTCTGCAGAGGAGTTGGCATCGCAGGCCTGAGACTGCTATCCTCATGAGGGCTTGTTTGCAAGGCTGGCCTTTGGCTGGCATCTGGGAACTTGGATTTGGGGAGTGTCCCACCATTCCCTAAATGAGAAATGTGGCTCATGTGCTTAGACGGTGTGTAAACAGTATGGTTTATGCTTAACCTGCTTTCCTCCTGGGAGTCTGGAAGTTGGGGACAAGCAGACAGGGTCTATGTCACCAGCCCCCAATAAAAACTGTGAGTGCTCTCTAACGAGCTCCCCTGATAGGCAACATTCCACAGCCTTGTCACCATTCGATGCTGGAGGAATTAGTGTGTTCTGTGGAAATCACAGGGAGGGGACCCGTGGAAGCCTGTGCCTGGTCTCCTCTGGACTCTGCCCAACACACCTTTTCCCCGTGCTCATTTTGCTCTGTATCCTTTGGATGTAGTAAACCCTAGCCACAGGTACAACCATAAGCTGAATCCTGTTAGCCTTTCTAGAGAATCATTGAACCCGGGTGTCATCTTGGTGACCCAGATAAAATACCAAGCGAGAGGGTCGACAAATAAAAGCAATGGTAATAGCAATGCTTAACATTTATAAAGGGCTTGTATGTGTCGGCCACTCTGCGCTGCACCTGATATGCATTATCTCAGGAAATCCTAATGAAATCCAATGGGGGAGGGGGATCGTAGAGGGGAAGGGGATTTCATTTGTCAGATGAAGAAATGGAGGGAAACTGCCTGCCCACACAGTGAGTAAGAAGTTCCTTTCTCAGCTGGGCATGGTGGCTCACGCCTGTAATCCCAGCACTTCGGGAGGCCGAGGCAGGCAGATCACCTGAGACCAGGAGTTCAAAACCACCCTGGCCAACATGGCAAAATCCTGTCTCTACTAAAAATACAAAAGTTAACTGGGCGTGGTGGCGGGCACCTATAATCCCAGCTACTTGGCAGGCTGAGGCAAGAGAACCGCTTGAACCCGGGTGGTGGAGGTTGCAGTGAGCCGAGATCGCGCCACTGCACTCCAGCCGGGGTGACAGAGCGAGACTCCATGTAAAAAAAAAAAAAAAAAAATTGATAAAAAAAAAAAGAAGTTCCTTTTTTATAGCAACTAATTCTGAGTGTGGAACACCACCTTTATTGTACATTTCCCAGTCTCCAGATGGAACCACCGTGAGGAGAGGTAAGCCCAAACTCTACAGCCTGGGGTGGAATCTGAGGTCTGCCATATTGCTTTACCACAAGGCGCCTGCAGCTGAGATGAAGACATTGACCCAAGGAGACACTCACTAAGCACTAGGATTAATAATAAACACAGCGGCCGGGCGCGGTGGCTCAAGCCTGTAATCCCAGCACTTTGGGAGGCCGAGACGGGCGGATCACGAGGTCAGGAGATCGAGACCATCCTGGCGAACACGGTGAAACCCCGTCTCTACTAAAAAATACAAAAAAAAAAAAACTAGCCGGGCGAGGCGGCGGGCGCCTGTAGTCCCAGCTACTCGGGAGGCTGAGGCAGGAGAATGGCGTAAACCCGGGGGGCGAAGCTTGCAGTGAGCTGAGATCCGGCCACTGCACTCCAGCCCGGGCGACAGAGCCAGACTCCGTCTCAAAAAAAAAAAAAAAAAAAAAAAAAAAAAAAAAAAAAAAATAATAATAATAATAAACACAGCCTGTGTTAGGGATTGGATGTGTTTCCCTCCAGATCCATATGCCGAAGCCCTATCCTCAATGTGATGGTACTTTGGAGATGAGGCCTTTGGGGGTAACTGGACTTAGATGACGCCATGATGGTGGGAACCTCACGATGCGATCAGTAGCTTTGTGGGAAGAGAGAGAGAGTTCTGGTCTGTCTTCCATGTGGGGACTCAATGAGAAGATGGAAGTTTTCAACTCTGAAAGTGGGCCCTCACCAGAACCTGAGAACAATGACGCCCTGATCACAGACTTCTGGACTCCAGAACTGTGAGAAATTAAATGTCTATTGCTAAAGCCACCCAGTCTATGGTATTTTGTTATGGCAGCACCATCTGGCTGTTTGAATAAATGACAGAATTTTGAATAAATGACACACACTGAAATTTTATGCTGCCATTGAAATCCTATTTACAAAGGTTGTAATGCCATGGAAATGTGATATATTTTAATGTTAAGTGGGGTTAAAAGGCTATAAATCATGTCTTACAGTATGAAGTCAGTTATGTTAAGAGAAAAATCATACGGGAAAAACAAAATGAAACAAAACTGAGAAGTAATGTGCCAAGATGCTAGCAGTGCTTCTCTCTGGGTGGGAGGATTATGGGTGATTATTATTTTGCTCTTCCTGTTTCTCAATATTTTCCAAATGTTCCACAATGAGGTCACATTGCTTTCAATATTGGAGAAAAAAAAAATAACATGCCTAAGAAGAGGGGTGGACGCTTAGCTCTCTGTGTCCCCCAAGCTTTGCCCCAATTTGCACATACAGCTCTACCGACTCCCCAGCACTCTCAACAGACAAACCAGACCCTGGGCTGAGCTTTCACAGACAGGAGGGAGCCCTGGCTAGGCAAGGCCTGCAGGAAGAGGCAACTCTCTGACATTTGAGCCTCTCTCAGCATAGGAAGGGTGAGCCAAGAGGCACCCAGGCCCTCAATTCTACAGCTAAATGCCAGTCCCCAGTGGAGGGATAACGAGGATGGCGTCTCTCCAAAATTCGGCTTTTAAAAAAGATTTTTGTGAAGATGAGCAGGGTAAGATTTACAGTATTCTTTTAGCATTCCCCAGGGCTCCCCTGGCGGAACAGTCGGGAAAATGAAATCCCTGCTAAGGTGAAGAGGCGGGATGGAGAAAGCCTGAGACCAAGTGGGCTTCTCCCAGAGCACAGTGGAAAGTGGTTCAGGGCACAGGAGGCGTCAGCAGAAGCCTCTGAGGCCACCACATCTTCCATGGCCCCTGTCTTCCTAACCCCTCTTTCCTCTTCCTCTTGTCTCTGCCCCCTGCTCCCTCTTCCATGAGGGCACAGCTCCCTGCTCCAGTGCTGTTCCACCTGGCCTGCCTCCTTCTCTGCTCCTTCCTAGACAGACTGCAACACTACACCACAGCATTCATTCAACAAGGGCTGACCAAATGCCTACGGTGTGCCAAGCCTAGAGGAAACAAAGTGGGTCTATCCTCATAACAGGCTGCAGCCTGGTGAGAAACAAGGCATTACCCAGCATACATCAGGTCCTCATGACACCTACGCCTGGTGAGGAACAAGGCACTGTCTGGCACACAGTAGGTCCTCATGACACTTGAGCCTCGTGAGAGACAAGGCATTGCCTGGTACACCATAGGTTTTCATGACACACGCCTCGTGAGAGACAAGGTATCGCCTGGCACACAGTAGGTCCTTTTGACACTTGGGCCTGGTGACAAAGCCATAGCATTGTCCTGCACACAGTAGGTCCTCATGAAACTTGTACGTAGTGAAGAGCAGAGCATAGCCAGGTCCATAGAAGGTCTTCACGACACATGCCTGGTGAGAGACAAGGCATCATCTGGTGCACAGTAGGTCCTCAATGATGCTTGCAGCCTGGTGAGAGATTAAGTATCATCCGGCACACAGTAGGTCCTGAAAAAACACTGCCCGATTAAGAAGGTAAATATTGCCCCCAAAAGAAACCATTAACACCCACAGGCATCCTCCTGCACCCATATCTAGTCTGGAAGGTTATGCTCGGGTCAGGAGGAGTGCAAGTGGAAAAATCACACGTGGACTGTGGAAACAGAGAAAATGGGATTCCAGTCGCACTTCCACGGCTTGCCAGTGGAGAGTCCTTGGGCCAGCTGCTTCCCCTTGCAAAGCAGCACATGTGAACTGCAGAGAAGGACAATGCTCACCTCCCAGGGCAGCACCGGTTAAATGAGGCAATGTGCATAAAGTTCAGAGCCTTCTTGGCCACACAGTAGGAGCTCAGCAAATGACAGAGCCCACTCCCCTCTCCCCTAGCATGTCTGCATGGAGATCAAAAACCATGCGGTAGCAAAACATTGACCAAGGAGTTTAAAAAAAAGAAAAAGTGAAGGAAAGAATAAAGAACAATGCGCAGAGCATCATTTGTATTCTTTATCGCCGGCAACAGTAGAATCCTCTTGGTCAGTTCTATAAATAGGCCAGCAGCAACCTTGAGAACAGAGAGGAGGTTAATGCCCTTGATGAGAACACCATGGAGAGCCAGCATCGGAGAGGGCCTAGGCCAAGTCACTGAGTCTCCCACAGGCTGCCCACCCCTGGTATTTTACAGAAGGGGACCCTGAAGCCCCAAGATGGGAAGGGACACATAAGGTTCAGGAGTACAAGAGGCACAGCCCAGGACGCGGGAGGCCAGTCCTGGGCCTCCTTCCCCTCTGCGCCTCAGTTTCCCTATCACAGGACTATGAGATTAGAAACTCAGCCAGACACTCATGCGTAGACCATTCATCTACCTCTGATAATGACTATTCTTTGGGGATAAATATGGGCTTTTTGTGGGTCTTGGAGAGCAAGAATATCATCATCCTCTACTGCTTTTTTATATTTCTGGCAAAACTGATGATAAACAAGATTCCTGAGAGAAGCTTTCAACATCTACGCAGGCTCTTGGGATATGGCCTTGGTGCAGTGGCCATCAGAATCCTGCAGGAACAGCTCCATCCATTGCTATTTAATGACACTAAAATGTGTGTGGGTCATGCAGGAAAGGGGAAGGGGACGATCTCTGCTCCTACTGCCTTCTTGTCTCCATTTCTACAAACCATTGCTTGC